AACTGAACCACCTGCTCCTGATTGATACAGGGTACATAATGAAATGAAGGCAGAAGTAAAGATGTTCTTTGAAACCAATGAGGACAAAGATACAACATACCAGAATCTCTGAGACATATTTAAAGCAGTGTGTAGAGGGAAATGTATAGCACTAAATGCCCACAAGAGAAAGCAGGAAAGATCTAAAATTGACACTCTAACATCACAATTAAAAGAACTAGAGAAGCAAGAGCAAACACATTCAAAAGCTAGCAGAAGGCAAGAAATAACTAAGATCAAAGCAGAACTGAAGGAGATAAAGACACAAAAAACCCTCCAAAAAATCAATGAATCCAGGAGTCGGTTTTTTGAAAAGATCAACAAAATTGATAGACCGCTAGCAGACTAATAAAGAAGAAAAGAGAGAAGAATCAAATAGACGCAATAAAAAACGATAAAGGGGATATCACCACTGACCCCACAGCAATACAAACTACCATCAGAGAATACTATAAACACCTCTATGCAAATAAACTAGAAAATCTAGAAGAAATGGATAATTTCCTGGAAACTTACACTCTCCCAAGACTAAACCAGGAAGAAGTTGAATCCCTGAATAGACCAATAGCAGGCTCTGAAATTGAGGCAATAATTAGTAGCCTACCAACCAAAAAGAGTCCAGGATCAGATGGAGTCACAGCTGAATTCTACCAGAGGTACAAGGAGGAGCTGGTACCATTCCTTCTGAAACTATTCCAATCAGTAGAAAAAAAGGGAATCCTCCCTAACTCATTTTATGAGGCCAACTTCATCCTGATACCAAAGCCTGGCAGAGACACAACAAAAAAAGAGAATTTTAGACCAATATCCCTGATGAACATTGATGCAAAAATCCTCAATAAAATACTGGCAAACTGAATCCAGCAGCACATCAAAAAGCTTATCCACCATGATCAAGTGGGCTTCATCCCTGGGATGCAAGGCTGGTTCAACATACGCAAATCAATAAATGTAATCCAGCATATAAACAGAACCAAAGACAAAAACCACATGATTATCTCAATAGATGCAGAAAAGGCCTTTGACAAAATTCAACAGCCCTTCATGCTAAAAACTCTCAATAAATTTGGTATTGATGGAACATATCTCAAAATAATAAGAGCTATTTATGACAAACCCACAGCCAATATCATACTAAATGGGCAAAACCTGGAAGCATTCCCTTTGAAAACTGGCACAAGACAGGGATGCCCTCTCTCACCACTCCTATTCAACATAGTGTTGGAAGTTCTGGCTAGGGCAATCAGGCAAAAGAAAGAAATCAAGGGTATTCAGTTAGGAAAAGAAGAAGTTAAGTTGTCCCTGTTTGCAGATGACATTATTGTATAGTTAGAAAACCCCATCATCTCAGCCCAAAATCTCCTTAAGCTGATAAGCAACTTCAGCAAAGTCTCAGGATACAAAATTAATGTGCAAAAATCACAAGCATTCTTATACACCAGTAACAGACAAACAGAGAGCCAAATCAGGAATGAACTTCCATTCACAATTGCTTCAAAGAGAATAAAATACTTAGGAATCCAACTTACAAGAGATGTAAAGGACCTCTTCAAGGAGAACTATAAACCACTGCTCAGTGAAATAAGAGGACACAAACAAATGGAAGAACATACCATGCTCATGGATAGGAAGAATCAATATCGTGAAAATGGCCATACTGCCCAAGGTAATTTATAGATTCAATGCCATCCCCATCAAGCTACCAATGAGTTTCTTCACAGAATTGGAAAAAACTGCTTTAACATTCATATGGAACCAAAAAAGAGCCCGCATTGCCAAGACAATCCTAAGTCAAAAGAACAAAGCTGGAGGCATTACGCTACCTGACTTCAAACTATACTACAAGGCTACAGTAACCAAAACAGCATGGTACTGGTACCAAAACAGAGATATAGACCAATGGAACAGAACAGAGTCCTCAGAAATAATACCACACATCTACAGCCATCTGATCTTTGACAAACCTGAGAAAAACAAGAAATGGGGAAAGCATTCCCTATTTAATAAATGGTGCTGGGAAAATTGGCTAGCCATAAATAGAAAGCTTAAACTGGATCCTTTCCTTATTCCTTAAATGAAAATTAATTCAAGATGGATTAGAGACTTAAATGTTAGACCTAATACCATAAAAACCCTAGAAGAAAACCTAGGTAATACAATTCAGGACATAGGCATGGGCAAGAACTTCATGTCTAAAACACCAAAAGCAACGGCAACAAAAGCCAAAATTGACAAATGGGATCTAATTAAACTAAAGAGCTTCTGCACAGCAAAAGAGACTACCATCAGAGTGAACAGGCAACCTATAGAATGGGAGAAAATTTTTGCAATATACTTATCTGACAAAGGGCTAATATCCAGAACTTACAAAGAACTCAAACAAATTTACAAGAAAAAAAACAAACAACCCCATCAAAAAGTGGGCAAGGTATATGAACAGACATTTCTCAAAAGAAGACATGCATACAGCCAACAGACAAATGAAAAAATGCTCATCATCACTGGCCATCAGAGAAATGCAAATCAAAACCACAATGAGATACCATCTCACATCAGTTAGAACGGCAATCATTAAAAAGTCAGGAAACAGGTGCTGGAGAGTATGTGGAGAAATAGGAACACTTTTACACTGTTGGTGGGATTGTAAACTAGTTCAACCATTATGGAAAATAGTATGGCGATTCCTCAAGGATCTAGAACTAGAAGTACCATATGACCCAGCCATCCCATTACTGGGTATATACCCAAAGGATTATAAATCATGCTGCTATAAAGACACATGCACATGTATGTTCATTGCGGCACTATTCACAATAGCAAAGACTTGGAATCAACCCAAATGTCCATCAGTGACAGACTGGATTAAGAAAATGTGGCACATATACACCATGGAATACTATGCAGCTATAAAAAAGGATGAGTTTGTTTCCTTTGTAGGGACATGGATGCAGCTGGAAACCATCATTCTCAGCAAACTATCGCAAGACCAGAAAACCAAACACTGCATGTTCTCACTCATAGGTGGGAACTGAACAGGGAGATCACTTGGACTCGGGAAGGGGAACATCACACACTGGGGCCTATCATGGGGAGGGAGGAGGGGGGAGGGGGGAGGGATTGCATTGGGAGTTATACCTGATGTAAATGACGAGTTGATGGGTGCTGACGAGTTGATGGGTGCAGCACACCAACATGGCACAAGTATACATATGTAACAAACCTGCACATTATGCACATGTACCCTAGAACTTAAAGTGTAATAATAAAAAAAAAAAAGAAAAGAAATTCAACATCAGAGAGAATAAACCTTTTCCTCTTTAACAATGAAGCTCTTCTTTTCTCTGGGTAAAACATCTTCTATTCCTGTAGTTTTCCTTCCTGTTTTGTTTTTGACATGGTTTTATATCTTCTCATCAAGTACATTTTTTTGTTTTTAAAAGTATGCTTTTAAGGTGTGGTATCTAGATATAAAGTCAGTATTTTTTAAAAAAAAAAGTTTTGCCCACTATGGAATGTAGATTTGGGGTTATATCTTCCTCAGTCTGGCAAGCTTGCTCCAAAATTGATTCTAAATCCTATTAGACTTATAGCATCCCACCACTCTCTTGACTTATATTGAACTCACTGTTATTTAAAAGCCCTAGCCCACTGTTTTTCATTGTTTTTCAATGTAAACTATTTTTCCAGTTGCTTTTCTGAATCCAGGTAATGGGCTATGTGTTTATCGCTTATTTGTATTAAACTTTATCCTGTGAGATCCAGCCATTTGGGCACCCTGTCAAACTCATTTGGAGCCTAATATTACCATTATCAGATTCAATAAAACCCCAGCTCATTTGACAAGATGCCTGCCAAATCATTAAAAAACATTGAGAAGACAACCCATTCCAACATGTTACACTCTCCCTATCAAAGATTTGTTTTTCTAACCCCTAAATCATTCTTGCTGAGGTTTAAATCCTTTCCCAGACAAAGCAAAATCTCAAATAAACCATGGTTTAAAATTTAACTTACTCTTTATGAACTCACATCCTTGATTACTAATAGCACTTTATTTTTAAGCCAAAATAACATGCCTACCAAAGTAAAAATAACTCAGGAAAACAGTGAATCAAAAGTCATTCATTATGACCAGCATCTACTTTGGCTATTAATCTGTCTTTATATGAAAGTGTTAATAATGAAATTCAGACTGTGTTTATCACAGTTAGATTTTTGTCTTTCCTTAACCTCATCTAAAGCAAAGAAAGGCTTAAGCCAAGGACAATGAAATATCCTACTAAATAAAAATGAAATGAATGAAACTTCTCCAAGTCAATTAGAATTTTTATATCTAACGGTTTTCAAAATATATATGTTATACTATGGTTGGTTCCCACGGGATTTATTACCATTGTTCATTAGATACAATGAAATAATAACAACAAAAGTAATGATTACCGTAACTTCCCTCAGAAGCACACACAAACTAATTATAAAGAGGTCTTTGCATTTAGCTTTAAAATGTACAATCATCAAAACGCTTGAATGGCCACATGCGTAGGAGTAATAGGTCTCGCACATATTTATGAGCTGCCTTAAATCCTTTCTGGAGTAGGGAGAAAAGTAAACAAAAGACATAGTCACATATTTAATGAGGAGGGAGAGAAAAATCTAAATTGGTATGCAGTCACTGCTCTCACAAGCCATTTTATTTTCTAAATGTTATATCGAAATGTTTAGATGCCGCCTTTCAACCAATACCACAAATGTAGGAGACAAGCAAAATGAGCCAATGTCACAGATACATGGGACATCATAAGAAAAAAACACAAAAATAAAATACCTTTTTAAACAATCTGTGATCCTCAAATTTAAAAAATTTTTTTAAAAGATTAAATCTTTTCAGAGATAAGGTCTCATTTTGTTGCCCAGGCTGGTCTCAAACTCCAGGCTTCAAGCTATCCTCCCATCTTGGCCTCCCAAAGTGCTGGATTACAGGGGTGAACCACCATGCCTGGCCAAATTTTTAAGTAAATATAACAGTGCTACCTGCCATCCTCCAGGTGATTCCCGATTGTCCCCAGGCTGTGCCATCTTCTGTGACTCTGGGAAGAATTCCATGCTCCTGAGTCAGAGTAAAATATCTTTGCTTTAGTTTAGATGGGATTTGCACAGGGATAATGCAATTTCATCTGTCTTTTTTGCCCCACTTAAAAATTAAACAGGAAACACATATATGCCATATAAATGTATCTGTTTTTTCTCTCGCTGGTTTTATTTAACTTTCTCCTCCCTCTAAAGCATTTCTTCCCTTTCTCATACATTTCTCTTATGGAGAAAAGAATAATCAGACATTAGGAATTAATTTGAAAATGTGTTATAAGTAATTTTATTACATGACTCCTTGAGCAAAAAGTACTTTTCATTAGAGACAATGCTTTATTCAAACTGTGTTTTTAACTGGTAAGTGGCATATATGACCTACTAAGCCATAGGATGAACAGACATCCATTGTGTAGAGTAAAGCTATTTTTAATCCCATTTGCCATGTATAGCAAAGACCAGTTTCCCCAAGTGTAAGCCTCAACCTAACTCTCTCAGCAACCCTCCTGGTGCCCCCAGCCTTACATGATATACTCCAACAAAGCCTGAATGCATAGCATGACCAGATTTAACAAACTGAATCACAGAATGCTCAGTTAAATTTGAATTTCCAATAACCCACACATAACAGGTTCATATATGTTCCAGTTATTGCATAGGATATCCTAAGCCATTATCTGTGGTTTAATGGGAAGTTCAACTTTAACTGTGTGTCCTGCATTTTATCTCACAGTTCTGCAATCATATCCTCCATGCCACTGTTTCAAGCCATTCTGGGCAGACTTTTCCTTCCATCTCAGGTGACCTACTGTGCCTTCTCAACAAGGAAGACCTAGCTCAAATGGCTTTTTCTCCTCCTCCATAAAATCTTGGCTGACCTGCTCCACTCAGTCCAAGCAGAGTTGATCATTCCCCCTTTGTGCCACAACAGTGCCTGGTACATATTCCATTATGCCCTGAGTCACAAGCTGTATCTCACCCACTTGTGTGTGTCTGGATGTGAAGTCAGTGGGACACAGTGTGCTTCACTCAGCCACATCCCCGATACCAAAAGCTAGTAGATACCTCAGGAGAAATTTTGGGTGGGGAAGGAGCAGAGGGTCAGAGCCAGACAAAGCTGGATTTGAACCCAGGATACTATGCCAATACATTTACACTCTCAAGGCTTAAAGTTCCTTGTCTGCACTTTGAAAAAAATAAATAAAAACATCCCTGGTGAAGTAACTGTTGAAAATTAAATTAAGTGGTTTATATGTAAGAAACTTGTCACTAAACATAAAACCACCAAAATAGTTAGTTACTTTCTAATCCCATGCTCTTTACTAAACTAAAAAATCTTTTCAGAGTTATAATGCCTTTCCTCTAAAAAAAAAAAAAAAAAAAAAAAAAAAAAAAAAAAAAAAAACCTGGAGAGACCTTCAATTTCAGTTTTTTAATTAAGCTTTAAATTTTGTCTGATTATGAGCTAATATACTTAATAAGAAGGTAAGCTCAACTTTTCACAAGACATTTATTTGTTCTTACTAATTTACCTGCCCAATTTTCTTCCTTTGCAATTAAATGGCACTTCCAATTAGACCATATAAAACGAGAAAAACTCCGCTCCCAAAAGCTTGCAAGAGAAGAGAGTTTCTAAAAATTACTCTTGTCTCATCTGTCTGACTCACATTTATCTAAAAATAAAAGGAAAACTAGGAGAAAAAATAAACGAACAGAGGATAACATGCAGCCTCATGTCTCTGAGTCAGATAACAAGATAATTTTTCTGCATGCTCTATATTTCACTTTTCTTTTCAAAATGACCTTTCTACCCCCTAACCCTATCACTAGAATATAAATCCATTAATGAGGAATCTTTTCTTCCCCTGTCCTTTTTCATATCAATTGCAGCAGGACGCTGGACTGTTCTTTGAGTTCATTCACTTTATAGCTATTAGAAATAAAATATAGCCTGGAGACAGCCTGTCTCCAATTGGTTAAGCACAAGTTGAAAAAAGAAATTCCTGAGTTTCTTTCATCTGCCACTGATTTTCCATGTGAAACCTAGAGAAGTGTCGAGACTTCATTTTTTAAATCTGTGAAATGGGTGAATCATTAAATTTTAAAAAACCTCTTTTAATGTCCATTTTTGGCAGAAAATCAAAAGCTCTTAAAATATTAGTGTTTTATACTTAATGATTTTAAAATATGCTTGCTTGACTTTCACTCCCATAGAATTAAATGACATTGCTCATTAGGTGTTACGAAATAATAAGAATAATCATATTAATAAAATGTAGTGGTTACTGTAACTTTCTCCAGAAGTACTCACATTCTAATCTAACTTCTGAAACTAAAAGAATCACTGAGAAAAATATGTAGGAAACCTTAAAATAAATTGACAGATATCTTAAAAGGTATATGTAGACTGGTGCCAATCCATTCAACCATTTACTTATTTGTTCATCAAATGTTTAGCTCTGTGACAGACTTTTCCTGAGTTCCATTTCCTCAGTTTCCTGACAATCGGATTGGACTAGTAAATGTGTAAACTATGTAACTCAGGGGTTTATAGCTTAATGTTCCTAGATTAGTCCTCTGATAATTTTATTAATACTGGTATTCACCGAGCTTTGCTGTCTTTCAATAACATTTGCACTTTTATTGGAGTGTGACCTTTTTCTGAAGACACAAGTACCTTACATTGGACATGCGCATGCCCGGTTGATGGTTAATGTATGTCAGGGATAGATCTTGAGTCCTCCAACAAGAGTAACAACAAAAGGACGACAACTGAGTTTCAAAGAAGACTTTTTTGCTTGAGTTAGAACCCCAAGAAGTCTTTTGCAGACCCTGGAAACTATGTTATGTCCCTCAGTTATCCTTGCTCAAAGCCTTCCTTTTAAAACAGGTCTCTCTTCCCCCATTAAACTGTCAGAGCTATGAGTGCAGGGACCAAGTCTGTCTTGTTCATCCCATATCTTTATGCTTAGCATAGCACCTGTTCTATAAGAAGTGTGCACAAATGGTGAATGAACTTTGACGAAGCTTTCTCAACACACTATCCCATTTGATCCATTCCTCCCACACCCTCTTCACAAGATCATTTTCAACGTCAAGACCCATAACTGCAGTATACCACATACTCAGCAATCAATGAACAGTCATTTCTCATTGTCTCCTTGCTGGGGGAGGGTGGGGAATGTGACATCACAGTCAAGCAGATGTTACAGTGGGGCAAAAAAAAAAAAAAGATGAGCAGAAAGAAGGCAAAGTTTATATGGAAAATATTCAAATGGGAAAGTCCAGTTAGGAGAAAATTTCCCTAAGGGAGCAGCACTGGAGAGTAAGCCAGCCCGAAACATTTCCAAAGTACCAGCGATACTGCCTTCTCTGCAAAGTAAACTACCAGAGGTTACCAAAAGCTTCACAAAACTTCCTGATCTTTAAATTTTCTGATACTAAAGAAGTCTGTAAAGGAGGAGGCTAACCAAGGCACCCAATTTTTTAAAAACTCAAGTGCTGGCCTGGCTCCTATGTCCAGCAACAATATCTATTGTCTGCCTACTATGTGCAGTGATGTAGTACATTTCTCCCTCTTCCAGGTGGATATCACATTCATAAACCTAATGCAATGAAAAACTCAAAAGCTTCCCCAGAATGCCTATTTAATGACACTTAGTAAGATATAATCCATACTAAGAAAAGCTGAACGATACTTTGAGATCCAAAGTGTAAGGATCCCATGGGTATCTTGTGTAATTACAATTAGTAATTGTATACAGGTACACACAACTCTTAGTGCTTTCCTTAACTTTTCCAAAATGGCTTAAGAATTTGATCAGGGCAACCACATCCACTCATATACCCTGGAATGTCAACTTGTACTTTCCCTGTGAAGATCTTACCAGCACACAGACTCAGGGGACACACATGGAGTGGAGGAAGAGAAAGAACAAGAACAGCTGGTTCAATCCAGAGTGTCAATAGTTGTCATAGCTGCATGTTCTTACATTTAGGTCAATTTTTTCCAATGTAGGAAGAGAGATCTTGAGATAGCAAAACCTTGCCGTCAAAATCTAAGCAGAACACTTGGAAGATCCAGCTCAGGCCAGTCTGTGGCTTGGGGAAGCCTCTGAAGCCAGCCTGGGCCACCCTATCAGAAGTGCTGTCACTTTACATTGTTTGCAGGAACCACAAAAACGAGACCTCATTTTCACCCTAAAAGGGTGATCCTGATGAAATTCAAGAAGGCAATCTAGAAGAGATTAAATATACTATGACTACACTGCTTAGATTGTTTTGTGATAAGCATGTATCATTTTTACAAAAACAGTAAAAACATTTCTAAAGAGAAAAAAGAAAGGAAGGCAGGGAGAAAGAAAGAGAGGGAGAGAGGGAGGGAGGAATGGAGGGAGGGAGGGAGAGAGGGAGGGGGGAGGGAGGGAAGAAGGAAGAGCACATGCTTTGCTCTTTTATCATTGGTATTCATAGAAGGCTGGGGATTGCATAATTAGAAGACTTACTGGCCCTTTAACCACATGCTTCACTAAAGCACGTCATCATTTCTGAACCCAGATGCTTGATTTCTGAATACTGTGGCTATGGAGGTTAGTGCGGAATCTTGGATCAGCTCTCATCTTCCCTGAGTTCCCCAAAAATTCACTTTGGGTCCTGCAACATGGAGCCCTGGTGAAAGGAAACAGAACTCCCTACAGCTTCAGAGAAAAAGATGAGAGGGCTCTCAAAGTCTTCTGTGCTAATGGGAAATATTCATTCTTGACCTCTTTTCCTCTCCCTCCAGAGGCTCATGGCTCTTTGTAGACACAACTAGGGAGTTTGAACAGTTTCTCTCATATTTCTAGGTCAAGAGAGCAAGGCTAGAGTTGTTCAGATATTTACTGAATGCCTAATAAGCACAAAGCCTCGTACTTAGCACTATAGGGTTCAAAAAAACTAAAAGATACAGTTCCCACTGGAGCAAGAAGAAATATATAAGCAAACGCTAAATGATAAATTAACAGCAAAACATGAGATTTAACAAAGTTGTTGCCAAAAGCAAATGTAGAAACCATGAGTGCTCTTCTGAACAAGGTGATGTATTTAATATACACTGCTTTCTTTAGTCATTAATCATGGAATTATGAGTATGTACTCTGGTAAAAATAAATCAAAATAAATAAGAGTTGAAAAACTACCTATCAGGTACTATGTTGATGACTTGGGCAATGAAAAATTGAGAGGCCCAAGTGTCAACGTCACACATATTGTGATTTATTACCCATGTAATACACCTGCACATGCATCCCCTAAATCTAAAATATGAAAATGAAAAATAAAGTTAAATTAATAAATAGTTGATTTATCAACATCTGTTAAATGAATACACACACATACACACATGCAATCACCAGTCTGTTAACATAAAGTTGAAAAAAAATCACAAATATATGTGAATTTTAAATATATAGAAAGCAGAGATTAAGCAAAGATGGCATTTATTGAGCATCTTTACTGTGCTCCAGGTACTGTCCTAAATGCTCTAAATGCATTTTTCTCAACTAATTCTTGTAGCATATTAATGGGATAGAAATTATTACCTTTTATATCTGACTTAGGTTTATTAGAAAGGTTTAAGTAATTTACCTAAGGTGTCACAATTAACCCCACATTTTTGAAACACTGTACATTATATTAGAGAATTGGAATGGTCAGTGTTGTACAGAAACAACACTTGTCTGTCCTTAGGAAGCTTAGCATTTCATAACAAACTCAGGAGTCTCACAGGGTTGGCTTAATTATTCACATAAAAGGACGATTATTATAAGAAAGACTCAAATATGTATTGGTAAATTGGCTAAGGAATAAACTTAACTAAAACAACTATTTGGAGGGAGGTGGACATTTAAACCAATTTGTAAAGAAAGTCTATGAGGAATTCATTCATAGTTTCTCATTAAACTCTTCTTGGACACCTAGTATGTGTAAGTCCAACCCCTTACAATGACAGAAACAGAAATAAAACAGATAAAATCCCTGCCTTCAAGGAGATGATGTAATCCAGTGTGAGGTGATGGGATGGTCGGAAGGTGAGGAGGAAGGAGACAGACAATACAACGGGTAGTAAGTCCTGTGATTGAGATACAGACAAAGGGATGTAGAAGAACAGGGATGGAGCCACAAAGTTCTCCCTGTGGGAGTTGGGAATAGCTTCACTGAAGAGGTCATAGCTGATCTGGGCCTAGGCAGATTGGCAAAACTTTGCCTGAAAAATAAGTGGTAGAAAACATTTGTAACAGAGAAGAAAGTAGGTACAAATGCATGAACATAATGAAGCAAGGTTTTCCAAATGAGAAAAGTTAAGCCCCTCTAAAATGGGACAAAGCCAGGAGCTCTTTCAGGTAAGCTTGGCACTAACGGGAAATATTCATTCTTGACCTTTTTCTCTCCCTCCAGAGGCTCATGGCTCTTTGTAAACATAACTAGAGAGATTGAACAGTCTCTCCCATATTTCCAGGTCAAGAGAGCAAGGCTAGAGTTGTTCAGGTATTTACTGAATGCCTAAACAACCTTAGAGAAAACAGGGAAATGAGGGAAAGACAAGACCAGTGAGTGTGAGAAGAGGGAAAAAGGGAAGAATTGTTAAGAAAGTATGGCTGACCACAGGAAACTAGGAAAAACCAATGCTTTTCCTTTTCTACTTCAGGGAAAAAGCCATAATTTATACAGTTATTCAACCAGAATCAGAGGTATTATGCACGCCTTCTTCCACTCTGTGACTCCCTAAATCTCATCAATCACTGAGTGTATCAATTCCACCTCCTAAACCTATCTCCTGTCCACTGGCTTCCCTGCAGGCTCAATGCTACCAAACTAGAACAGGCCTCTTGGCTGGGCTAATGCAGCAGCTCCCTAGCTGTGTCGCACCAGTCCATTCTCCTTCCTTTAGCCAGCATGATCTTTTTAGAGACACAAATCCCATCACATTACTCTTCCAGGCACTTCTCAAAACCCTCAAGGTAAAGTTCAATCTGAGCCATGTGGTTCACAAAGCCCAGTGAAGCCATTACTTATTCTGTCCCCCACCCCACCTCCTAGTCCCACCCTTGCCTACTAAACCCATACATTATGATCTACTAATGTGGAATTCCTTTCCTTTCCTCAGATATGCCATGCCCTCTCTTCTCCAGACTTCTACTTACCCCAAAGCACTCTCTTCTGCATCTGAAGCACTCTTTTCTCCAAGTGTCACTTGGCTACCTCCAACTCATCCTGTGGGCCTCAACTTACATGCCATCTTTTCCAGGAAGCCTTCCCTGATGTTCAGGGCAGGATTACGCATCCTCCCTTGGTGACTACATAACACAGTGTTCTTTCTCTTTCCCAGCACTTAAGAGATGTGTAATTGCCTGCTTAGTGATCTGTATTCCCAAATAGACCTTAAGTTCCCAAATTCAGGGCTATATCCATCTCATTTATTTTATCTCCCTTAGCGGCTGGTGCATATTAAACCAGGAAGTACATGACTGAATGAATCCTACTCTGGGCCAATACTGAAGGAGGATGAAAGTTTGGTAAACAACAGTGACTGAATCAAATGAGGTTCAGTTACCAACTCTGTGACCAAACCACAAAGGCAATTCAGGTTTAATCAGCATTGACTAAGCAGGTTCCAAGCAAAATGAGACCAGCTTGTTTTGCCTACCTGGATCTGACTGTGTAGTTTAGTGAAAGCCAAAAAACTGAGTGTCTATTCAGGGCTGAAAATGGTTCTCTTCCCACCTTGGGTCCAGAAGGTGAGAGTTATACAAATAAAAAAGCTGGAACATGAGGCTTGAGTCAAGGTGGGGGTAAGAAAATGATCTTATTTGGCAGATTGGAGAAATATCAGAAATTGATTTTTAGTTCTCCACTGTAAGAAAATACCTAAAATATGGGACATCTTGTTATAAACAGTACTGTAGACAACAACTTATTGTACTGCTTATAACAAGATGTCCTATATTTAAATTATAATTACTTGTTAAATTACAATTTGTTCCATAAAATAATATGTATTACCTACTTCAAATAATCCAAGAACTTACTTTTATCACCTCCTAAATGTAAATAGGCTCTTTTCCCCTTCCCTCTACTTTGCACCTAAACCTTATTTCATTCTTTCACTGTGATAATCTTTCTTGATGTTTTTCAGAGTCCTTGTGCTGGTTTGAATAAAGTGGCAGGCAAGGCCAAATGAACTATAGCTACCTACCCTCCATATATAAAATATAAGGCTGTGCATGTGGCATAATAAAAATTCCAATAAATACCTGGATATTTGGAAAGGCCAGAGGAGTGGGCAGGAAATGACATGAGATAGAGGAGTGCAGTGGTACCTGGCGAAGGCATGAGGAGTGTCTATTGCACTTCTGTGCTTCAGATCTGTATCTCTGCTGAGCAGTTGTTGATTGGTCTCTTTGTAGCAGCATCTGTCTAGAGGTAAGAAAAGCTGGTCATCATCTGGCTTCCAATTGTGTACAAAGTCTGATAACACTTTCTGGTTTTCAAGAATAATTAAAGCTTTTCTGAACTTTTTTGGGTAAAAGCACACTTAATCATCACGCAGCAAAGCTGGCAGCTGGCCAAAAGCAGGACAATCAAAGGGCTTGCTCTCACAGAGCCCCAAGCGGATCCCTCAGCTTCGGATAAGTACTAGTGGGAGAAACGCAAGGACCCTGGTTCTGGAAATCTTCAAAACCCTTCTGAGTAAAAGCAGATCCTTCTACACTTCTGAGTAAAACTTAAGACTAGAGCATGAAAAGGAGTGAAGAGGCCATGAATAATAATTTTTATTTAATAAATAGAGAATATAGAACAGTTCACAGTTGTGAGCCATAAAGATAATTCTTAAGCAAGAATTTCTTTTTTAATTGACTTGTCTGAATATCCGCCCTCCCTTCCCCCCTAAAATAAACCAAAGTATTACTAGCTCTGGCAGTTTTATACTCAAATGCAAGGTTATATTTAATCTGGGAAAACCTAAGATAAGCACATCCTTCCTAATTACCTCTTTCTAAGTTATGTTTCTTGTAACTCCTCAAGTTGGAGGCTCAAACCATATTTTGAGGGTATTTATGACATTTTATGCCTCTGACTCTGCAGTGTTCACCCTCACGGGGCCCATCCTAGGGAAGGCGACAGAAAGACAACCTAAGTGAATCCCCCCTTCCTTAACAAACCACAGAAGCTGCCAATGTACTGATGTCATCAACTAGATGGCCTTGTTCCTCCATTGATAATAAAGCACTTATTTTAGTTTATAGTAACTGTGAAAATAAAAAGAAATCAAAGACTTGGAAATGTTTTGGGTGATGGTCACTGGCTCTAATCTTACTTTATGTATGACCCTTAATTAATCCCACTCACCTTCTTGCCTCACTTTGTTCAATTTACAACTAGGTGTTTGGGCTCCTAGAACGTTCTCAAAACCACCCACTAAAATTCCAGGAGTTCTTGATCTATTTTAGAGGTACCTTATGAAAAAAAATACATAAAATTTGTCCTCCATGGCAAATATCACCTGTTGCCTTGAAGTTTCATGTTTATTTTGCATTTCTTTTTAAAAAATATCCACGTGCACTTTAATATTTTCAGAGTTGAATTTTTTAAATGTTGATCCACCTGAAACTTTATAACATTATCATTTAATGCAAGGCAAAATTATATAAATCTCAAATATTAGTTAAGTAAACATTAATACATATTTTAAAAACATAAAAGCCTTAAAGAGCTTTGAAATTACTTTTAAGTTTTTAACTTTTAGAAATTTAGCTCAATTGTAAAACATTCATAATGTGGTTAGATAGACTGAAGAGGCAAAAACCAAAATCATACGATTTTTTAACACATTGGGAAATGATGTCAACTTAAAAATACATAAATTGTTGGGTGTCCTATTGTATTCATTTTTCCTACTTTTTATTTGGTACATTATTATCTACCAAGATTTATTGATTTGACACAATCCACAAACATTATATGAAGAGAGAAACCCTTTCCTCATCTTTATGTCCATGTATTCCTATGAATATCAACATTAAAGTGTTACTGTCTTGAGATCAATCAAGTCTTACATTTCCTTTTTGAAAAAAACATTTTCCCCATTTTCTCTCCTTTGCCTCTACTCCTATTTTCTATCCCATGTTACAATAACCCCCACTATTTTGAGAATTTCTGTTACAGATTTTTATCTCTTTGTAACTCCAGCTTTAATGGAATAGCCTTTCATTAGTCTTCCTTCAATAAATATTTATTGAATGTTTACTATTGCTAGCTAGTGAATTAGGTGCTGAGGGGGCATAGAGCTAAGTAGACACAATCCTTGCCCTCAGTAAATTGACATTCTCAAGAAGTTATCCCTCATTTCTAAAGCCCAGTTTCTTCATCTATAAAATAGGGTAATAATAATTACTGCATGAGCTGTTATGAAAATCAAATGAAATTACAACTTTTAAGCACTTGGCAAAACACCTAACTTTCAGTAAACATTGTTTATTCCATTTTCTTTCTTAGGTGCTATAATAGAAGAAACTCAACCACGGAGATAATATTTGAGCCATGTCTTGAAAAGGGTTGATTTTCAAAGGAAGAAGGAACAAGAAAGGAAAACACTCCAGATACTAAGTGTATCCAGTCTGTATGTGAAAGAACATATTACATGCTGTTTTAAAGAAGTAGAAAGCTGCCCCATAAAGCTAGGAAGAACAAGCAGGACATGAACCTGGAAAGCTGAGCTGGTTTAATGAATTTAATCCTGCAGAAAACAAAGAACCACAAGGGACTTTGATAAAAGAAAATAACATGTTTCCACTTGTGTAATGGAAAGATCACTATGGAGAATCGGTTTGTAGGGTAAGAGCCCAAAGGGAGTGAAATCACGTAAGAGATTCCCAAGATCAGATTAGAGACGATAATGTCTGAACTAAGACAATGACAGTTACTGAATGATAGAGATTGAATTGAGAAATAATTTAGAGGCAGCATCTACCATATGCGGTCACTGACTACACCTTGGGATAAGGGTTGACCCTGAGGTTTTCAGTTTGGTGGTCAACCAGATGAATATACCATTAACTAAAATAAGAACTACAGAAAAAGAATAAATATATTGGGGAAGCAGAGGATGAGGATTTGGAGAAAGCTGGAGATTATGGACATGATTTTAGATAGGGAAAACACCAAGAGGATACCAATCCTGAGAGGGCAGGGCAAAGGGAAGGAACCAATACAAAAAGTCTATGAAGAAAGGTTATAATCACAGAGAATAACATATTGGAAACCAAGAGAGCAGAGAGTTTTCAGAAAGAGGATTTAAAGATTTGTGCCAATATCACAGAGTGGTCACGTAAGAAAGCTAGGAGAAAGCTGGTTTCATCTTCTAACCCCAGGACCTGGGGAGAGGGAAAATGGACAGCCTCCCCTCCAGCTGGGTTTGAGGAAGGGCGTGCCATCAGAGCAAATTCGTGTTTTGGTTAAGTTGAGAAGGCAAAAGGAGCTCTCTATAAAAAGTTTAACAATCTGGGGGAAAATTAAAGATCCAGTATTGCAATGGACATGTTTGAGAGGAGAGCCAGTGGGTGGAGGAGAGAGAGGTCCTCAGACCACCAAGAAAGGACAAGACTATCCTGGATAAAGATGGAGCATGAGAGGATTAATCAAGAGGTAATTCTGATTCTTTTTATCTTCATCTTAAGTGAAATAATTCTTAGCCCTTTGATGACCTATCTGATATTACATTAACTAATAAATTTAATACTCTGGCTGTTTTTCAATTCTTTCCTTGTATTTGAAGCTGCTATGCCGATCCAGGCAACAGGGATGCCAGCCTCCATAATGAGAAAGCACTGTCAAGTGGGTCCAAAATTCCAAACGCTTTTCCCATTCAAGTTGAAAGCCACTAGTTCCCCTGTGAGCTTCTCAAGTGTCACCTCGGGATTTAATGACAGTCTTGATATGCTACATGGATGTCTGTTTACAGTAGACTCCAGTCATTTTCCCAACAAGAAAAACCTGCATCTGCATTCTTTTGATTTAGCTGTTTATCTTTGTAAAACACATATAAAAGTGTTACTTACTAGTCAAGCCAAGACATTATCCTGCAGGAGCCGCCTGAAACCCCATCATCACTGTATTAGAAAAAAAAAAAAGCTGGCAAAGTCTAGGTGTGCCCCTTGCAGTTATTTAATAAGCTAAGAGAGAAGACTGGGTAAACTAGATGTCTAAATTGAAAGATAAAGTTCTGAAAATTGTTTTTGTCACCAGATATGCCTTGTTGAGGGCCCTGTTTTCTTTTGCCAACATGCTGAGTCTAGTATTTTACAGCCAGCTTTTTCAGCAGTCCTGTGATTAAAGAAAAAAGATGGACTGCTAGAGATACCACATTTGGACCAGCTGCAGGAATAATTTAACCAACATGGCATGAAGGATATTGTTCAAGTGAGTAGTTTGCTCTACTCTCAAATTAGTAAACAGATTATCAAGGCCATTTGTTGATACACTTACCCTAGTGTGGTGAATTTAACGTATGGGTCAAAAATTTCTTGACACTCGTATCAAAAGGTAGATCAAAGGATCTATCTATGTCCTATCCCCTTGAAACCAGAAAAACTTAGGATTGCTTTAGCCAATAGAATATAGTGTAAGTGATGCGGTTTCCAAGGCTAAGTCAGAAAAGGCGATACAGTTTCAGTCTGATCCTCTTGGAACACTCTCTAGAAGAAGCCAAGCACCATGAAATAAGTCCAACTATCCTGCAACCACCGTGCTGGACAGGCCATGTGTAGGCATTCAGTAAAAGCCCAGGTGAGCTCCTGTTGAAGAGCCAACATAAATTCCCAGTAATATGAGGGAGGCATCTTGAACATCAAGCCCAACTGAGCTACCGTATCCTCAATTTAACTACTGTATCCTCAGGCTACTGTATCTCCAGCTGATATATGCCTGCAACTGCAGAAGAGATTTCAAGCAAGAATCCCTCCTCCAAGCCCTTTCCAAATTCCTAGCCCATAAAATTGTGAGCAAAACAAAGATTAAGTTGCTAAGTTTCAGAGTAATTTGTTACACAGCAATAGTAATCAAAACAGAATTAGTTACCTAGAAGTGGGTTACTGTTGAAAACAAAAATAACAACAACAAAACCCAAAAAATGTGCATTGACTTTGAGACTGAGTGCTGAACACTCAGTTTGGGTGCTGAGAAAAAGCTGGAAGGATTAAGGAGACTACTGTCAGAAGTCTAATGGCCCTCGAAAATACTCAGTGAGAGCTTCAAGGTAATTGAGAAAAAATGTTATTAGAAGCTGGAGGAAAGGGAATTCTTGTTCTATAGTGGGAAAATTTAGTTAAACCATTCCTGCAGTAACAGAAAATAGAAAATGTGCCTCAGGAAGTGATGGATTTGGCTAAGGAGATCGCTAGGCAGAATGAAAAAGTCCATTGATTTCTTTTAACCATATATTTTTAAGGCATAGATAGAGCAAGATGAGCCAAAGAAGAAAATGTTGTTTCCAAGATTATGTGGAGAAAATAGAAAGAAGCCAAGGCTTAATGGACTTGAATACAACTCTGTTTCCAATCTCTCCCAGAAAAAAATTCTAAACATAAGTAAACGTCTTAGGATAAATATTGAATCTGGAAAAATGTGGTCTCATGGTCAATACGAAGACTATGCTGTGACTGCAATTTTTAAAACTTCAGAATCATTTTAGATGGTGCCTCAGAGACATTTTCAAACAAACAAACAAACAAAAAAGCCTTTTAAGTATCTTAAGGATTGCCTGGTTAGCCTTTCTGTTAAATAATAAGGCTTCTAAGACTGCTAAGAGTGTGGTCTCATAACCACCTTATAGGGAGCCCGAGGTACACAAGGACTTACCTGGGAGAGATCTGTGCATGTGGATTTTATCTAATGGAGTGGATTTTATCTAATGGAGTGGATTTTAAATTGGTACACAAGAAGCTTACAGAGTTTTTAAAAGAATTGTATAAGCTTGAACTGAAATGAACGTAGACAGTACAAAATGGAGGGATGCCTTTGAGCAGGAAACAGACTGAAAAAAATGACTCAGCTGCCACACCGGTCATTTCTTGTGGAAAGGAAAGATGAATCAGAGAGATAGAAGCAAGATTCTGAGGGCAAACCAAAATCTACAGACAATTAGTCCCAGGCAACAGTGCTGATCCCTCATTTAAAACTGGCAATTTGTGCTCAGCTTATTCCAGGCACGCTATAAATCAGTGGCGATTATCACTTCCATTCCCCCCTTTTTAAATGAGAGTATCTCTAAGTTATCTAATGTCTATTCCACCAATTTCTACTGGAAGTGTGGGAGTAGATAATGTGCTTCTTATATCACAGATCTTCAGATCAGAAAGAATGGTACTCACAGAGATGAACCCAGGGAACAATATCTGAAGAGACTCCTTCCTAGCATTGGTTTAGTTAAGAAGAGTCTGAATCTCCAAGCCTGATGCTGAAATGGGATGATACATGCTTGGGGGGATAAAGAGGAGAAGGGGAATCTTGAGAGGGGATGACTGTATTTTGCGTGTAGGAGAAATTAAAATAATTTGTGACCAGAGCATAGACATTGGTTGTTCAAAATGGATCCAAAACTTTTTGACATTCCTTCTATCCAGAGATAGGATCTATGTGTGTGTATTTATGACTATTTCAACCAACAGGATGAAAGAAGTGATGCCATGTAACTTCTGAGTCTAGGTAAGAAAATATCATGCAACTTCTGCCTGATGTTCTTGGACTTCTCACCCTAGGGGAAGCCAACCACTATGAAAGATGTCCAATTACTCTGAGCCTATCGTGCTGGAGAACTCTCACCCACAGGTACTCCAGTCAACACCACCAATAGCAAATGCCAGTCATGAGAGTAAGTTATCTTGAACATTGAACCAAGTCAAGCCTTTAGATATTGGCAGCCTCAGCCAATATCTGATTGCAACCTCATGAGTAACTCCTGAATTTTCACCCTCAAAATATGGAGCAAAATAAAATGAATATTTTAAGCCACTGAGTTTGGGGGGTAATTTGTTATTCAGCAGTTCTAAGTGAAATACCTATAAATATTTTTTCAACAATAAATATGTCTTTTTAGGATTAAAAGTCTTTCTTTGGGTTAGGTCAGAGAGAAAGATCAAATATATAACCGAAATCATAAGACCAAGAGGCCAAATGGAAGTCAGAAATAAAAGCTGGACAAAGTGAAGGTTTAGTTAATGGGAGGATGCATAAATAATGGTATGTTTACCATATAGAATATTTTGAAACTATTGTTGAAAATGTGGGGCCATATTATTAGATTTGGAAGGATTTTTATGGGTAATGTTAAATGGGAAATATAAAACAATAAAGGATGTTAAATATCTCCCCTCATATATGTGTGTACATATACATTTGAATGTGTATTTCTGTGTGTGTGTGGTATGTGTGTGTACATACACATTATTTTATATGTATGTGTTCTGTATGTACAAGTGTATATTCTAGATGTATGTATGCATATGATTTTTAAGCACAGTTAAAAATATGGTAGTATACAAACTAGATTGCTAATATGGCTACCCCACAGTTGAGAGGCAAAAGGTTTGGTAGTCAGAAAGGAAAGAGGGGAAAGAGAGTCAAACAAAAAGAAAAATAAAAGAATGACTGCATTACAAATATGTGGTCAAACATTTATGAATTTATACACTATGTATACATATATATACATGTTTACAAAAGTTAAATTATTCAGATGTGTGTGTGTGTGTGTGTGTGCCTATGGGGACACAGAGTATAGATTACAGATGAAAGTATTATTACTGGCTGTCAGCAAGAATAAAGAGGAAAATAGAGGACCAAGACAGTCATAGCAAAACAAAGCACAGAGGCACAGTGTGAAACTAGCTCAATCCAAGCAACAAACACTAATGTAATGGTGACTAATTGAGGAACACATAGATACAGGTCAAAGCAAATATTAAAAGTAATTGGAGTCAAAAGAAAAGAGATACTGAAGAACAAGATAAGAATATTGGACAAAAGTAGGAGAGTCAGGAAGAAGAAAATCTGAATAGAAAAAATAGGGCTAAGTACTGAGGCAGAGACAAGATTGACAGAGCAAGCAAGAAGTCGGAGAAGAAAATGCTAGGGACCACCAGCCACAAAAGACCTCAATAACTGACACCATGTCTTATCTCGGCCAAGGAACTTATAGATAATGTTATTTGTGGATTACTTGGGGACCAGCAGTGTTACATAGGATAAATGTGTCTAATTAGTGACAACTAGAAATTCAAAGGCCACTAGTGTGAAGCAGCTTACTATGGAAATAAGCAGCATTTTCCAAGGTGTGGAAACCCTTCAGAAGAGCTCTGAAATGTGTTTTCCAGAGGCAAGTGCTAGGTTCTGCCTATCTACTCATAAATTTGACAGCAAGAAGAGTCATTACTGCTTTCCCTTGAAATTTCATACTGACTTTTGTCCAACAGTTAGTTTAATTAAGTCATATTCACTCATTTCTAGGAAGCTCAAATTTCTTTCTCTAGAGATAAATAACACTGTACATTTACACTTACCATTTGATCCATTTTGGAATCACAAACCCTCCAATAAAAATTTTTTGGTCCATATGTCAGTTTACTAAGTTCTTCAGGTGGAAACTGTAAGTATAGTAAAGCTTGCATTAGTAAAAAGAAAAAAGAGAAAATTCTGTTTCCAAATGTGTCTATCATATACATCATCCAAAAAAATATTTCAGAACTGCCTCTCTATGCTAGAGAAAACTGCAAAACTTGTGGAATAAAATGACTGGCAAAACTGTTTAGGGAAACCGTCTCCAAATCATTTTAACAAATTTCATACAAACAGAAATACAACTAGACCAGGCAGAAAAGAACTAGTGATTCTGACATGAGAAATGAGTTATTCTCATTTCTCCTAGTCCATGAGAGAAAGACTATATTTTCACATATTTTTGTATTTTGCGTTACTGGATTCAAAAACAATGAGACACATGCCAAAATGTTAATAAAGCCTCCCCTAGAAAACAGGAAGAGAGGTAACGGAATTGGAATTCTTATTGTTTATTTCATTCTGAATTTTTAAATTTTTAATGAAAAGCCTCTGTTATTGTTGTATTAAAAAAATTTTAAATAATTTAAAAAATAAAAACAATCTTATAAGAAATAATATTGTCAATGGTGTGACTACAATACCCTGCTTTCTCTTAAACAACAAATTTTTAAAATTGTTTCCAGCAAATTGTCTATTATGCGGTATGGTACTAATTAATAGCCTTTATAATTCAGGAAATATTCAGTGATGCATCCATTGCCACTACTTGATTTTTTTACTTTGCAACAAGAGATCTTGCCATTAAGGCATATCATTCATCAAAATGACAATTCTTCATATACACTTTAAACGTATGTTGAAATCACATGTCACAAGTCTTTTTTTCTTACCCTAACATTCATAGGGTAATGTTTTCCTTCCTCTCAAACTCTCTTACAATGCATTTTATTTAATTTTTTTTTTAGACAGTCTCACTCTGTCACCCAGGCTGGAGTGCAGTGGCCACCTCTGCCTCCCGAATTCAAGCGATTCTCCTACCTCGGCCTCCTAAGTGGCTGGGATTACAGGCACCCACCACCACACCCAGCTAATTTTTGTATTTTTAGTAGAGATGAAGTTTCGCCACATTAACCAGGCTGGCCTCGAACTCCAGGCCTCAAGTGGTGAGCCCTTCTCAGCCTCTCAAAGTGCTAGGATTACAGGCATGAGCCACTGCACCTGGCCAGGATGCGTTTTTTATGATGGAAAATTTAAGTCATTTTTTCAATTGGAAATTTGTTGACACTTGCTGTAGGTTTAAATTTTTTTTTTAGTGAAGAACATATTCAGAAGTTCATGTCGAAATTAGGGAATCCAAATCCAAAATTCAAATTTCAAAAAACGTCACAGCTCAAACTTGAAATTCCAGATGCTTAAAAAAATTATTGAAGGTGGAAAATATTTTTTGTCTCTGAAGGGTTTATTTTTAAGCCTATTTTTCAACTTCGCTGAGTTTGGTTTCAAGCCAGTTTGGACTAAACTAAAGTCTGAAAAAGAGTGGGAAAAAATCAGTAATTCAAAGTGATTTCAAACTTGGACATGTGACCTAGCATGACTCATATGGGGAGAGAAAACTGTCCAAATGTCCACGGCCTTACACAACTCTACATTTTTGATCTTGGCAAATCCTAATGATTCACACTTGACTTAAAAATATAGCACAGACAAGATTTCTAAGCCCATACTCAATATAAAACTACACTTTTTATCTATTAAATTGGTTTATATACAAGTTACATTTTCACTCTTTTAAACTAAAACAGATTTATATATTTGACCCAGAGATTCTTCAGAATTCATCTTCCACCAATACGGAGTGAAATGAAGCCAGATAAAGAACATTATTCAAGTGCATGAAAACAATATCTATATTAGAACTGACTGGTATTTGCAGTAGTATCAACCACATATTTATACAGTTAAGTGTTCCAACAATACCACTTAAACTGAGCAATAAAAAACATCGTTTGGACTTTTGACATTGCTTTCCGAACTCAAATGCAGGGCTATAGTAAAACATAACTATAATCTTTAATTTTTATGTACTTTTTACCTGCAGTATATATGTTCTATGTATGGGGGGGGTGTGTGTGTGTGTATGTGTGTCTGTGTATAGTGTCTTAAAGCCTGAGTTCAAAATAATAAAAGACTTTGTCAGAGATAAAAATACAAGTTAAAATCCTAGAAGAAAAAGAAAATTAAGCAATGCCAGGTAGAAATGTTTACAAATATACACACATTATTTTATGAAGCAAGAAACAGATTTGAGGCCAATATGTTTGTTATTAAAGAAATTAAATAGAATTTGTCTATGGTTGCTGAATGTCAGAATTTACAAAGTACCGACATTACTATGTGCACTATGAAAAATGATAAGGCACAAAAGATAAGATTATTTCAAAACTTCTACATCTGTTTGACAAAGTGGCACATAGATTCATGATAAATTGAACTACTTAGTTTAATCTGCTTATACTCAATCTTGCTCACAAAGGATCTAAGATCTAGAAAAATTTAGCTATTAATAAATATAAAGTGTTTATATTCCATATTCTCCAAAGGATTTGAGAGAGGGAAAGTTAGTAATAGAGCCATGTGTATAATACGGGTAAGAAATTATACAAGGTAAAAATGCCATCAGTTCCAAATGAAAAGAATAGACAATAGTAAAAGCGAAAGAGAAACAACAGCAAGACTGACACAACATGATTAACTTATTGATCCAAGTAACACCTCATAGTAACAATTAGCACTTTATAGTCATCATTTCATTAATCATCTCATCAACAACCACCTTGGGAGAGTTTATAATTATCTGTGTTCTGGCACAGCCAGAAACTCAGTGCAGATTGTCTTCTAGGTTGAAAGTCTGAGCTCCATGCATTAATTAAGCTATTACACAACCATATCTATTTTATGTCCATCTCTGGTTTGCGAGGCCTCAAAACATTTAGAATCTCATCAGTACTTTTACTCTGGTCACCAGAGTACCGCAAGAAAGTATCCAAATGAGCTCAATATTTTTTCCAACGGTCATTGAATGAACAGTGCCAAGCCACTTTGGAAATCAGAGTCAGACAGGCATTTTGTGTTTCTTAGGAAAAATAAAACCAGTTTTAATGTTGACCACTTGTCAAAAAGCATCACATCAGGAATATACTTTTCAATGATAGGCAATACTACACATGACAGCTGCTGCCTCTCTTCCAAAGACAATGGTGTTGTCACTGTTTCTTCAAGATACTATCCTGGTGGAAATGTTTTCCACTCTGATCCAGGCCATGAGGAAATCTTCCAGGCATTGAATATAAGCAAGGTTGTCCATGACTGTGGGAAAGGTTGTCAGTTCTGGGGAAATTAATTCTTATGAGAGAACTGATGTATACACATTATTTCAAGGCAAGTTAAAGATTCCTTTTAAGGATTCTAGATTCATTCCTTTCATCCCTGAGAATGTGAACTCATTTCTGGTATTTAAAAGAAGTGAAACTTTCCACATGAAACTACATATTTTCTTGTCTGGTTTGTCTTTCTTTTACAATAACTGAATACCATGCTAAGTAAGTCAGTGCTTCTATGAGATGATTGAAAATTATAGATAATCACAATAAAACACATTTTAAATTAGCAGTGATGCCTAAATTTAGACTAATTCTTGAAATTAGAATAAAGTAGTTCACAAAGAACATGGACTTATTTCAAAATTTAGGCTTCATTTAATTTTTTATCTTAAAAAATAACATTTAAGAGTTAGAAAGTACATATTTGTACTGTTACATTTACTGCAGGAATGTTTTATGTGTATATTTTTGGAATATTATGTGTATAACATAAGTCTATATCAGAAGAAAGTAAGGGAAAGAAAAATGAAGGGAGAGAGTGAAGGAGAAGTTGAGGGGGATGAAGAAAGAAAAGGAGGAAGAAGAAAGATAAGAAAGAAGAAAGCAGTAAGGGAAAGAAAGAGGGAAGAAGAAAGGGAAGAGTGTAGGGGTAAAAGACAAAGAGAAAGAATGTTGAAGAATTTTAGATAAAATTAAAGACGACTTTGACCACAGTTGGAATCCCGCCTCCCAGTCTGCCCTGACAGAAAGTATCCCCTTTCATGAGTGTTATGTGTATCATTCTAGTCCACTCTGAAGTTTTATGTTTGAGATTTAGTCCATCACACTAATCACATACGCAGTATCATTTGATGAGTCACTTTGTCTTTCTGCATCATGATTTGAGTTATATTTTTGTAGGTTGTATGTGTCCAGGAAATTATTTCTTCTAGGTTTTCCAATTTGTAGACGTATAATTGTTCATAATAGTCTCTCATGATCCTTTATATTTCTGTGGTATCAGTTGTAATGTCTCCCTTTTCATTTCTGATTTTATTTATTTGAATTTTCTCTTTTTTTCTTAGTATGGCTAAAGATTTGTCAATTTTATATTTTCAAAAAACAACTCAGTTTCTTTTATCTTTTCTATTGTTTTTCTAGTCTCTGTTTCACTTATTTCTGCTCTATTATTGTCTCCTTCCTTGTACTGACTTTGGGGTTAATTTGTACTTCCTTTTCTTCTTCCTTGAGGTGTTATTTTAAGTTGTTAGAGATCTTTCTTCTTTTTTGGTTTAGGTGTTTATTGCTAAAAACTTCCCTCTTAGAAATGCTTTTCTGCATCCCATAAGTTTGGCATGTTGTGTTTTCATTTTCATTTGTCTCAAAATATTTTTTAATTTTCCTTTTTTATTTTTTATTTTTTTGAGACAGAGTTTCACTCTTGTTGTCTAGGCTGGAGTCAGCTCATTGCAACCTCTGCCTCCCAGGTTCAAGCGAGTCTTCTGCCTCAGCCACCCAGGTAGCTGGATTACAGGCATGCACTACCACGCTGGACTAATTTTGTATTTTTAGTAAAGATGGGGTTTCCCCATGTTAGCCAGTCTGGTCTCGAACTCCTAACCTCAGGTGATCCACCTGCCTCGGGCTCCCAAAGTTCTGGGGCTCCCAAAGTTCTGGGATTACAGGCGTGAGCCACCGCACCCGGCCTAATTTTCCTTTTGATTTCTTCTTTCTCATTGGTTGTTCAGGAACATGCTTTTAATTTCCACATACAGAAGCGCTTCAGTATCTGT